GAGGTGAGCTGACAGATCTGTGAGTTGAAGAGCCCTCTGTGGTTGCCAAGTGGAGGATGAAATGGAAGGGCCAGGGGCTGGAGCTGGGAGAGCAGTCAGGAAGCTGCAGGAGAGGTGGGCCTGAGGGACACAGTGGTGGCTGGAACCAGGACAGTGGACATGGAGACAGAGGGCAAAGGATGGAGTCTAGAGAGAGTCATGAAGTAAAAGGATGATCCAACCAAAAGGAGTAATAACAGCAGCCAACGTTTATTGACCTCTTACTGCATGCCAGGCCCTGCGGCTTGGGGCACTCCGCCAAGATGCAGATAACTCAGTTACTCTTGCCATCAACCCTCTGGAACACATTCTATCATTATGCCCATTTTAGAGGCGGAGAGGCTGAAAGATTCTGACTAGAAGACACTTGGTTTGTGATTTTCATTACTGGGAGGGGAGCTGGTGGGGGGCTGGAGTACCATTCAAAGACACGAGGACACCTGTAAAAGCATCGTGGGAAGGAGAAAAACACTGAATGGGGGACACACTGTGGTGGGGAGCACTTGGGGTGGCAGGAGGGGAACACACCCAGCCCTTCTCCACTGCTCATGGGTCTCCTTCACATGTTACCATGACTCAAAGTGGGGCCCTGACCTGGGGGAGTGGGCTCTGAGGTGGGGGACAAGATGCTTAGGAAGTCCCTGATAGCATCTCTGTCCCCATTCCCTTCGTACGCCAAGCCAAGCCAAGAGCCCAGTGTCAGATGGGACCCAAGGGACAACCAGAAGCCTCTGGCTGGGCTCTGCATCCCAGCTTCCGGGTGAGATTCCTTCCCAGGGATTTGAGGAGGGAGAGGACTACATCAGGTCCCAAAAAGGTGCGGACAAGGCAGAGAGACGGAGACCTGGCATCAGAGGAGAGCTGAGCAATGGGGTAGTGGGGGAGGGGCTTCCCAGGCGTGCGGCCATTGCCTCTTCTTTGTCATTAGAAAGTCAAGGGACTTTGGGGGACAGATATCAACACACACACACACACACACACACACACACAAGGTACTCTCTGGCCTGCAGCGCAGGGACTGCCATTGGTGGTGTGTGACCTGACACAACAATGTTCCTGATGACAACATGAAAATCATAGATAAAAGCCAAGAGCCTCAGACCCGTGCTGGTCCCCGGGGAAGACAGGAGGGCAGGTTTCAAGCCAGGGCTGCCCCAGCACAGCCCTGCCTGCTCCCACATCTCCACAGCTTTGCGTGCTAGCACTGCCGTCCCCTGCCACCGCCTGGCTAATTCCTACTTGCCCCTCAAAGCTTGTCCCAGTGTGACCTCCCCTGGGGATAGTTCTCCCTCACATAGTCCCAGGAAGCCCCTTCAAGCCCTTACCGCAAAGTGTCATAATCACCCTTTGCTCTGTGTCTGGGACAGCACCCCTCACCCCAGAAGACAAGCTGGGCTATCCTGTCCCGGCTCACCTCCTCACCCCTTACCCCCTCGGGCTGGGGGCCCAGGAAACCCGAGGAGAGAGGGGCCAGGGAACCCGCGGCTCCAGCTAGTACCGTCACTCCCGAAGCGCTCAGATGGGACCTTCCACCCCAGCCAAGTAGCCCCTATCTCCCAGGGCCACCGCTAAGGCCTGCAGAGGGGTGGCTCACTGCCTGGCCTGTGCACCAACAACTGGCCTGAGCGAGAGCAGTATTTCCACTGAGGATGGGGAACGGGGGGCAAAACCGCTCACTAAGGCAGCTCAGGAGTCCCAGGAGATGGAGGCAGCAGGCAGGAGGCTGGTCTGGAGTTTCATCTTCCTCAAGGCACACACACCCAGGCGATGCAGGGCCTTCTCACATACGAGCACACACAGCCACACTGACACCAGGTTCTCACACACAGCTTCCGTCTCACACACCCCTCACTACACACGGTCTCTGTCACACAACGGGCCCTCACCCCACACAGCCTCACACGCAGATGGGCTCGTGCACACAGCCTCACATGCAAGGCCTCACAGTGTCATGCCTGCCACACACAGAAATACACTCACCTCAAGTCTCTTGCACACCCCAAGAATCTCTCTCTCGCCCTCTCACACAAACACACACACAGCATCTCTCTTACACATACAGTCTCTCTCTCTCATATACGCACTCTCTCCCACGCAGCCTCATTCTCACACACGAAGTCCATCTCTCAAAACACACAGAATCTGTCTCCCTCACATTCACACAGAATTTCTCTGATACAGAGGCTCACAGAATCTCTCTCACATAGTCTCAACACACACACACAGACACACACACACACTCCCAGAGTCTCACTCATATGGTCTTTCTCACACGCATGAAGAACCTCTCACACCCACACAAAATCTATCTTACAGATTCTCACACATACAGCTTTTCTTTCATGCACATCTACAGTGTCACACACAGGATTCTGGTCTCGAATCCAGAATAAACATTAAAATCCCCACCCACAAATCTGAGGCGGCTTGGGGCCCGCGTGGGGAGGGGTAAACAAAGGTGACAGCAGTGGCGGAGCAGAGATGGAGGGGGCAGGGCGGGCGGGCAGCCGGCTGGGCTCTGCGCAGATGCGCTGCAGAGAGGCAGCGCAATGCAGCTAGGCCAGCCGGGCGTGCAGCGGGAAGCCTGGGTTCTAATCCAGGCTCTGCCCTCAGTTCCTGCGTGCCCTTGGGCAGGCCCCAGTGTCCTCATCTGTCACCCAAGGGAGCTAGAACAGCCCTGTGTGCCTACAGGGGAAGGAAGGTGGCACAGATAGGCTGTGGGACGATACTTTCCAACCCACCTCCACCCCCCAACCTACTGCCCAGCTTCTCCCTCAGAATCTGCTCTTCAGTGGACACTGGAGAGAGCCAGGACTTTTCCGTAAGGTTTTGTACACCAACAAGGCCCCATTTATCCAACCCATTTATCTGCATGGGGTGACGGCCACCCCAAAGCAGAGGAACGGCCAGTGGGAGGAGATGGACAGGGCAGAGGGCTGGAACGTGCCCCACGTGACCCCTGCCTATCCTGAAGCTCAGGGGCACAGGCCAGAGCCCTAAAGCTGAGCCCAAGGAGAGGGGTGGGGGGACCCAGCCTCTTGCTGGGGAGCCCGAAAGCTGAGAGGACCCTGTGGAAGTTGGGCCTACTCTGCTTCTGGGGCCAAAGGGGTGGTGGTCGTGGTGAGATGCTGTCCGAGGTCAAATGCAGGCTGAATGGGCAGCTGCTCTAACCCAGGCCTCTGCCCCGCATGCCCCCCCGCCCCACATGTGCCAGTTCAACCTCCCAGTCCCCTTCCTCCTGCCCCTCCCCACAGCTCAGCCATAGCCTCCAGTTACATAATCCCCTGGCTCTGGTGGCCTCTGTCAGGAGAGGGGAGGGGAGGGGAGACCTCCGAGCGTCTCAGTCCACTCTGGAGATGGCAGGGAGCTGGGGGCCAGCTCGGTGGAGGATGGGGTCCCAGGAGATTTGGGTTCCAATCCTGCTTGGCCTCTAACTCCCCAGATGACCTTGGGCAGGGTCCTCAAAACAAGGGGTTTAACTCCCTCCCTATTACTGTGCTCCCCCAAACACACACACACACGCACATCTGAGCTAAGATTTAATATATAAGACCTGCTGCCCCCTCCCTCAGATGCTAAAACATTGAGTGTTTTATCTCAGTAACACATCCACCAGGCCTGTGCCTACACACAGCCTTTCTCTGCCATGGACACTTCAGTGCCCACCCTCCAGTCCCCTTTCCCCACTGGAGTCAGCTGGGCAGACACTCCTGCCCCCTCCCCTGCCCGAACCTCCATCCCTGGGCTCCAGAGGGCAGGAGGCATGGGATGTGGAGCAGTGGAGGAGAGCGGGGCAGCAGAGGCAGTGTTTGGACTGGTAGGGGGTTAGTGGGTAGCTCACACATGGGGGAGAGGCTCTGCTTTAAATTCCCAACTCTGACCCCTCCCCTCATGCCACAGGCTTGGTTCAGGCCTCTGAGAACAGAGCCCAGCAAAAGCAAGACGTGTCTTTCAGCGTAGATGGCTGCTACTGGTGTCTCCCTTTGGGGCTCAATTAAAGCAGCAAGGACCCTTAGAATTTACCAGACCCCCTCTCCCATTTTATAGTTGAGCAAAGTGGTCAGAGAGGCCATCTGAGGGGCCAAGGTCGGCAGCAGGGCGCCCTTCCTCCCTGGCAACAAGTTGCTGTCACTAAAGGGGAGTGGCTGATGAAGACACACCCACCTCTCACAAACCTTGTCCTTGCAGATCCCCCCGGAGACCCCTCCTCTGCCCCGGCAGGTCCGAGAGGAAGCATAGGCAGAAGCCCAGTGGCCCCCTCAAGCACCCTCTCCTTTTGACAAGGCAGAAGGACAGGCTCTGTTCCCAGGAGCAGGTCTCAGAGGGATCACATCCCCCTCCCCAACTACCTACCAATTAATTAGCCATAAACGTTCCCCCTTGGCCATCTCCCCATGGCCTGAAGCTGCTGCCTGGGGAGGGGTGGTCTCTCTCAGGCAGCAGACCAGGTCTCAAGTCCTCTTCTGTGGGCCGTGGCTGGTTCCAGGTGGCCCTTAGCTGGGAGAGAGGAAGGGCTCCAGCTTCCCTCCCCACACCAAAATCTAAAGGACAGTTCACACTTTCACCCTGTACACCTGCAGAGATGCAAATATGCACACACAGGCACTCCTGCACACTCAAACATACACACATGCTCACTCATTCCCACTACATACCATACCCACCCAAATATACACTACCACACTTACATAAATATACACACACAATCTACTCATACACACAAACACACCCATTCATACTCACCCATACACAGTAAATTTGTAATACAGACACAGACTTTACATATGTACAAAGCTAGTCACCCTTCAGGAGAGTCACTCTGTCGCTTACACGCGCGTACAAACACCCCCCTTTCATTTCTGACTCCCTAGGCACCAGTTTTCGAATCCACCCCTGCCCTCAGGAGGCAGAGGACCTTGACTTCCCCGCCCCGCTCTTCAGATGGGTAAGTTGTCACTTACCCGCGCGTAGCGGGATGAGTAGGGGTCCTCGAAGAGCGCCCAGATGCGCGGCTGCCAGCGGCGCCAGAAGCCGCCGGGCCGGCCGTCCGGGGAGTCGCTGAGTGCCAGGCGCTTGGTCATCTCCAACTCGTCCTCGCCGTCGCCTGAGTCGCCGGGGCCGTCGGCGTCCGCGTCGTCGGCGCTGTTGTCCAGGGGCGCGCCGCCGAAGCTGTCCAGCGCCTCCTCGGCGTCGCGGTGCTGGCGGTACGTCATCCAGCAGCAGGGCTCCACGTCGGTCTCGTCGATGCCCCAGAAGGCCAGCTCCTCCTCGTAGAGTGGCCCGCACACGTCGGCAGGGCAGTGCAGTTTGCCAGTGCGGTAGTAGTTCAGGATGTGCGCGAAGACGCCCGGGTGGCGGTCGAAAAAGAACTCGTCGGCGCGCGGGTCATAATCGAAGTGGCTGTGGGCGTCGGGCTCTGCCAGCCAGGCGAGCCGCGTGCCGGGCAGCGTGCGCAGCGTCGAGCGGTACGTCTGGTGGCGCGTGCCGCCCACGTTGATCACGATGCGCTCGCTTTCGTCCCCTTGGCCCATCGCGGCGCCTCCTTAGGCATGGCGCGGCCCAGCGACACCCATGGGAGCGGCCGCCAGGGGGAGTTGGCGCCGGGGAGGGGGGCGCGCGACCTCCTCCCCCCTCCCCCCAGCCGTCGGGGGGACAGAGGACCTCGGCTCTGGCTACCCCCAGAGCGACTCAAGCCCCTCAGGGCGCTTTCTGTCGGGTGCTGGTCCAAGGGCGTGTGCGCGGGATTCCCAGGGTCTCTAGGCGCCAGATGTGGGAGGGAGCTGGTCCGGCTGCGGAGGAGGCAGAGGAGGAAAGAAGGGAGGGAGAGAGGGAGGAGGAAGGGAGGAAGGGGGCGGCGACGCTCAGCGGCGAGCCCCAGGAGGAGGGAAAAGAGGGTGGGGGGGCCGGGCTCCCGTCCCCATCTCAGCGGGAAAATGGAGAAATCGACACAAAGCTTTTGGGGGGAAGGTCAGCTGCTTCCAGGGCCGGTCAAAGACCAGCCCCTGGAAGGGGGAGGGGAGGGGAGGAGAAGGAATCTGGAAATTCGCGCTCTGCTGTGAGGTGGTCGCCGCAGCGCGCTCTCGGCGTGGGGGAGATGGATGCCCGCTGCCTTCCTCCCTGCGTGGACCGGCTGCGCAGGGCGGACTCCGGCCCCCTCCCTCTCCTTGCCTGGCTGCCTGCTCCCCGCCGGCGGCGGGCGCGCCCGCCCGCCCGCCCTCCTCGCTCCTTCTCCCCGCCTCTCGGAGGAGATGGCGGGCCCCCTGGGCAGGGGCACCAGGGTTGCTGCTCCGTGCTGCTGCTGCGGAGCGCTGCGCTCGGTGCGCTCCGGCTGGACCTGGGGCTCTCCGCTGGGCTGCGCTCCGACTCGACTCCGGCGGCGGTGCTGAAGGGACAGCTCCGGGACTGTTGCGGAGCTCCGCGGAGCCGGGAAAGGGTTCTCCGGGCTGGGCTCCGTCTGCGGGGCCGGCGGGCACTGACTCCGGTGCCTCTGCGCCCTGCTTGTGGCAGGCTGTTGGCTGTGCCGGCCGAGGCGAGGGGGCCGCGGCGGTCGGACCGGGGAGGCGGGGGTGGCGGGGCCGGGCGCGGCGAGGCAAGGCTGGTGAGGCCGGGGAGGCGAGGCGCGGAGCGGCCGCCGCCGCCGCGACGCCGCTGCTGCCGGGGCTGCTGCTCGGCTAGCTGGCTCGCTTGCTCGCTCGCGCGGTCCGCGTCCAGCCCGCCGCTCTCCGGACACTGGCACACGGCGCGCGCAGCCGCACTCGCCCCCGGAGGGAGGTGCCGCGCTGGGTCCTAAAAAGCCCTGATTCCGCGCCCCCCTCCCAGCCCCGCGCGGAGCCCGGCTTCCCTCAACCCCGGCGCTGGGGGCGCCAGCCCGGCACCGATCCTGCGCCTCCGGGGGACCCGCCGACGCTCCGCCCCCGGGGAGCGCCACTCAGTGGGCGGGGGCTCCGGGAGACGTCTCAACCCGCGCCCCAGGGTCAGACTGAGGTGAGAAGGGCGTCGGTACCCGCCCCTGTCTTTCCAAACTAGGGACTGTCTGATTCCCTAGTGAAACAAGACGCCCCTGACCGCTCTCAGAGAAACCTCGACCCGCACCAGTATTGACCGCTCCAAGCAGCTGTTCAATACCGACCCTTGCAGGGAACCTGGAGCCCCCATGACGCTTCCATAGGTACCCTCTTGCATGGATTCCAAAATAACACACCCCGCGCTCCCCTATACACAGTACACACCTGTACTAGGTTGTGTTGTCCTCTAAGCCCTCTACTAAAAACCCAATAATCTTGGACCCCTATTAACCCCTTTCGACCCTTTTCTGACCCTGGGCCCTTCTTAACTCCAGGCTGACTCTAGTCTCCCATGAGTGTCACACGCTCTGCCATCCTGATCCCAGCTCACTGATCCTCCCACACTAGCCCAGGATCCTTAGGTGAGGATCCCTTGTGAAAAGGGCATTCTGTCCTTAGAGGTCAGAAGAAGAAGCTGCCTCTAGTGGTCGTGAACCTTGACAGCCCCCCTTTCTCCGCAGGGCTTCAGCTGCCCTGGATGGGAAGCTGATGCTGTGTCTGGGGGCTGGATAGGAGCAGACCCCCGCTGTGATTCCTGGCTTCGCAGTTGATCCTGGGGTGGGAGTTGCAGTTTGGGCCTCCGAGGCTTCCTGGACCACGTTTGCTGGCGGTGCCTCAGTTTACTCAATCGAGCAATCACTCCTTCACCCCTTACTTGTTCCAGGCTCTGTCCCAGGCACAGGGGCACAAGAGACCCTGCCCTCCAGGGGCTCCGGGCAGTCAGGGAAGTGGGCAGGTGGGTCTGGGCAAGGCTGGGGAGGTCAGACCCAGCTCCAGGGGTGGCCGCACTTGGAAAGAAACTTATTGATCCAGCCCAGCCCAATCGAACACAAGGCTGCCTTTGCCTGGGCAAAGGGCTATTTAATTAAGAAGACATGAGGCTCTTATTTACCTGTCGGCACTTGCTAATTGCGCAGACAGCTGTCCCTCGACACTGACCCACAGACCTGGTTGTGGGCCTGGGGATGAAGCTGTGCAGCAGACATCTCTCTCCTCACTTGGCCCAGTGAAATCTGTGTGTGCTGGGGCAAAGGTTTGGAGGAATGGAGAGGTTTGGAGAGGGGCAAGGGGCAGAGCAAGAGATGAGGGGTGGGAGAAGGACAAGGGGAAAGGCAGAGAGGCAGAGTTATGGCAGAAACAGGGGCAGAGATGGGCAGAGGCAAAGAGAGAGCTGAAGTCTGGGGCCAGGATGGCACCTCCTCACTCCAGAGATTGATCTGTGTTCTTCTTATAAATGGGGGCTTCTTCCCCTTCAATACAATTATTTCAGAGTAATACAGGGATGAGAGTGTGTTTCAGTGTCCCTCTCACCCTGACCATTGTGAGCCCTGTCCCCTACCCATGAGGAAGCCAGACCCAGTGCAGCTCAGCTTGGCTCAAATTCAGATTCCCAGGACACAGTTCTCTCAGAAAGTTCTGCCCCAATCCAAGGAGGTGATAAAACAGAGAAATGGAGTCCCCTCACACACACACACACACACACACACACACACACACACACACACCTGGGAGAAATCAAGATGGGGAGAGACAAGACAGAGGCCTCGCCAAACCTTCCCCTCCTTCCAGCCAGTTGTCTAGTCCCTCTTCTCCCCAGGAAGCCCTCTGCGATTCTGCCAACCATAGGGGCCCAGGGTTCCACCTCTTCCCTCTCCTGCAGGACCACATGGATCAGAGTACAGCTCCCTAACCTTCACTATAGCTTATTTCATTTCCCAGTAAAAAAGGACTATCAGCTCCTCCAAGCCTCCTTCTTGCTTGCTTCCTCCACAGGGCCCAGTGTACACCAGCTCCTCATTAAGGGCTGGATGATTTGAGAAAGGCCAGGGGAGAGGCTAGGATCCTAGCCTCCTAGTGTCAGAGGCCATAGGAGTCTGGAGCCCTTAACCCAGGCTGAGTCAAAGGGAGACTTACCCAGGGTTTCTCGGGGAGTCAGTGCAGGGCCCACTCAGGCCACTACCCCATGGTGAGCCATAATGGGGAACTGAAGCATGCCCCAGATGGTGGGGAGAAGCAGAGGGAGAGGCAGAGAGAGGCCAAGGGCTCCTAGAAGGGGTAAAGTTGGGTTATTAGGAGCCCTGGTCAGGCCTGGCCCTGAAGGGCTAGTAAAAGAGGCAGGCCAGGGTTGGAGGGAGGGGGAGTGTGAAAGTGTATCTATCGCACCTAAAATCCCCTACAAGGCAAGCAGAGAAGGCTCAGAGAGAGGAGCCTTCCAGGTGGGAGAGGGTAGCTGCCCATGAGGTGCTCCACGCTGTCCCACTTTAGGATTCTCACCTTCATCCTTGATGACACCCCAGGCCTCAAAGGATCTCCCCCTTCTCTATCCTAAACAGGGACACAAAAGTCCCTTCTCTCACTTCCCCTTCACACTGTAAGAAGGCTGGCATTTGCAGAAAGCCTAGAAAAATCAAGAGGGCAACATAGAAAAAAAAAGGGAAAAAGCCCCAAAGAAATGGGGTAGGGAGGGAGAATCGCTGAACTGAGCCTTAGCTTCTTACCAGCAACCACTAACCACAGACCCTCAGCCCAGCTGAGGACCTCACCCCTTTCCACTTGTGAGCAATCCCCCTTATTCACAGCCATTTGCCCCCTCCCTTGCAGAGGAAAGCTGTGGCCCCGTGCCAGAGGCTCTTTGGGATCACTGGCTGTTGAGGGGCGGGGAGCAGTGAACTACCAGTGGGGGGGTGGTATTCAGTGGTCAAGAGCAAAACCTCTGGAACCCAGGTACCTGTATTCAAATCCTAGCTCCACCATTGACAAACTATGACCTTGGGCAAGTTATTCAATTTCTCTATACGTCAGTTTCTTTACTGATGGATATGAAAAATAATAAGCCCTATATCATAACACCTCAGCTCTGTAATCTCTCTTGTTCAGGCTGGAGGAGGGGTCTGATGAGAGGGGCTGGAGGACGAGCCGGGGCTGGGTATAGACAAGAAAAAGGTGAAGGGAGTCCTGAAGCCAAGTTTGGCCTATGTTCTCACACCTGGCATTTGCAGGCCTTAGATCTGGTCCTGCTAGGCTCTGGAACTGGCTTAAGTCCAACCCCCAGGCCTTGGTCCAGGTTGGCCCATGCCATATGCTCTCTCCCAGGCCCAGAGCCTTCACATTCCTGGTGGGTTGGGGTGCCATCTTGTGGCCACATCTGGAAACTAACCTAACCGGGGCACAGAGCCGGCTTTGGAGTGATGATAAACAGCGCAACCAGCAGGCTATCTTTTCCACAGATCAGAACTCCTCTCTCCAACGGACAAGGGAGGGTGAAATTAGAAGTGCCATAGTGGGAAACTGGTGACTGTGGCTGTCAGATCTGTAGCTTGAGCACTGACCCTGGTACCTAAGCTGGGAATGGGGTATACAGTTGTTCCTTTTGTTCCTTCCTGTGACCCCTGGGCAAGTGGATCCCGGATCTCTTAGGCCAGGGGAAGTCTAGAAAGGGGCCAAGGTAAAGAATACTCCGGGGAAGTGCAGAGTTTGTCAATCTCTGCACATTTTGGACCAGATAATCCTTTGTTGTGAAGC